TAAATATTGAATATTAAAATTTAGGATGTTAAATAAAATTTAGGTCACAATTCTATAATAAAATTTACAAAGCATTGCCTTAGATATTTTTTTTAACATTATTTTGTCTTTAATATCTATTTAATTTTTTTAAAAAATATATGTTGGGCCCACTTAGCCCGTTTAGCCCGCGGGCCGGGACCGTTTAGCCCGAGACCAAACGNGGCTATTTTTATAAATAAATAATAAAAATAAAAATATAGTCGTTGGCCTGTCAAAAATAACCGTTAGCTATTTATAAAATAGTCATTTAACCCCCTAACTTTGTTTTAACCCCAAACTTTTTATACATTTAATATATATATAATATACTATACTATATATACATCTTATTTACTAATACGTCTTATATATAGTATATATAAGATGTGTGTGTGTGTGTATATATATATATATATATATATATATNGTTTAATTTGGGACCGGCCCACTTGCTAGCCCTACATCCAATTCACACCTACTTTTTTTTTACGGAATCTACTAATTAACAACAACAACAACCCATGATAATCTCACTAGTAGGGTCTGGGGAGGTAGTGTGTACACAGACCTTACCCCTATCCTGGGGTAGAGATGTTTCCGATAGACCCTCGGCTCCCTCCCTCCAAGAACTCCTCACCTTACTCTTGGGGTGACTCGAACTCACAACCTATTGGTTGAAAGTGCAGGGTGCTCACCACCAGAGCAACTCACTCTTGTCAAAAAAGTATAATTGGATATGAGATGGGTCGAAAACGGGTAATGAAAAAACGGATAAATTATTCGAACCGACCTAAATTTAATACGGATAAAAAATAAATTAACCGCCGGATAATATGGGTAACCATATTATCTATGGTTTCTTGAATATGATCACTTTTGAGAGAATTCTTAGTCTCACAAACTTGAGAAACACCCAATTTGAGGCTTTACAAATGTAAAAGTTAAACCCATTAGTTATTCATTGGTTATCCATTTTCTAAATGGATAATATGATTCTTATTCATATTTGACCAGTTTTTAAAAAGTTCATTATCCAATTAATTTTTTAATAGATAATATAGGTGGTTAAGTATTTTTTTTTAACAATTTTGCCTGATCATGACTACCGTTAAATAACTAGTTGAAGACCACCATCAAACTCAAGTAATACACCATGAAATATTCATTAAAACGGCACCTCCATAGCCACTAAGCCACCCAAAATGTTGGCCTAACCGGAAACCACCGTCAACCCACTAGGCCACCACCATTTCTAAAAATTTATTTTTCATCAATTTTCGTTCTCCGTTGGGTTTAAATAGAGGGGTTGAAGGTGCTGATTCTACTAGCTCCGGTCTAGATTACATTCGAGGTCGTCGGCGAATGTTTTCAAGAGTTGTCTAGTCGCTGATTTACTATAATTAAGCTCACATTTCATCTATACAAAGATCCATTATTTCTCCTCTTAGAAGGATAAGAGGAGAATTCAAGAAATCGCGTCGAAAACTAATACGATAGAGAGAGAAGTGTTGCCACTGCCGCAAAGTGACTGGATTTATTACAACGGCGGAATGTCCATAATAGAAATTGGCTAGGTCTGGTGAAATAGCAGCACAATGAAGACTAACTAAAATAATAAAGAGGATGAAAGAGATTACAGGAAGTGGGGAAAGAAATGGGGCATATGGGTGGAAATATGGTTTTGGGTGCAACGTCGGGTCAATATTTTACATAACTTGGGCATTTTTGTCTTTATCCCGACTATTAACCCAATATATTTTCGTTCGTGCAATTGATTCTATCCGAAGCATGCCCAGTCCTGATTCCTGAACCCTACGATCTTTGAAATGGGTTATATGATACTTAATTCGAGGAAGAGACCATCGGTCAAGAATAAATTCCCACATTGAAAATTGATAAGAAAAAGAAACGAAATTATTTCTGATAGTGCCAAGTTTTTTGAGGATAACAGTCCGTAACTACACTACTACAGTACCCAGTTCAGTTAGTAGAAGTTTCATGAGAAAAAACTATAGGACCATACAAATTATAGATATATACAAGAAATTAGACCTTCTGACAACGTAAGAATATTAAGAGGTTTAATCTTTATAAACTGATAATATAAAATTTTTTAACACTCAAGTCACTATCATTAAGGATTTTGGTGTGAAGAGTATAATCTCTTCATCTTTAAGTAAAGTTCGCGCTCCTCCCTTTAATGGGTTATACCCTAGCTAAATTCGGATGAAAAAACGAAAAAAAAAAATACTCATGTCACTTGAATGATAATTGTAATACGGCAAGTACTAGTCTTTTACAGAGAGTTAAAGTACATATACAGTATAAAATTCATAACTCGATTAATGGATATATGCTAGAAATCAGGGCTACTGCAACAGTTCTTAAGCAACGGTTTAACCACTGTTGCTATAGACATGCTATTGCAACAGTTATAACTGTTGCATAAGACTCTAGGGACTATTGGGACAGTTCTAAAAAGAGACCGTTGCATTAGTATAGGAACCGTTGACACCGATCGATCCATTGGAACTGTTACTTTAACCGTTGCAATATACAGATCTGTGGCAACAGTTCTTTGGAAAAAGTTTGCTACTGGGACGGTTTTATTTCCCCCTTTGTTTTCCCTCTTCTTTTTTCACTAAACCCGCCCGATTTTCTTTTAAATTTCTTAACCCTACTCTCTCTTATGATTCAAAATTCGAAGACATGGAACAGAACAAATTAACCCATTTATGCGCATCTCTTCGCTTATTCGCTCAGTTCCTAAACCCACATCGAAACAATAGCCCGGTGAAGCACCCACCTCCGGCAAGGCCACACCTCCGGCTAGACCCAACTAGAATCTTCATTTATTTTTCAGCTAGGTAAGTTGTAGAGATCATTCTAATTTTCTACTTTTATTTTTACATATTTGGCTTTGTATTCTTTATCTCTTCCTGGGTCGCTTTAGGCATCCTTGTTCTTTCATAGGAAGTAAATCCAGAAACTAGTACTCCCTCCGTTCCAATTTATATGAACATGTTTGACTGGATACGAATTTTAAAAAAAATGAAGACTTTTGGAATTTGTGGTCCTAAATAAATAAAAAATGAGCTCAGAGTATTTGTGTGGTTATAAAAGCTTTTCAGTAAGGATAGAATTGTAAGTTTAAGCTAAATTGTTTTCAAATTTAGAAAGAGATCATTCTTTTTTGAACGGACAAAAAAAAAATGTTCGCATAAACTAGAACGGAGAGAGTAATAAATAATTCTAAAGAACCTTCATTTATGAAATGAATCTATGTAATGGGCATAACATAGAAAATTTAAGCTTCAATTTTTTATGCAAATCCACCCACGTCCCTTTGTATCACCTTTACTCCTGAATTCTAAGCCTTTATAGTTTTCAAATTGTAAAAGCCCTCTCTCAATCTCTTGAATCCTCCTCCGCGAACCAGTTTTTGGGGCACTCGTGTAGTTTTGTTACGAGAAGAGTGTGTCAAAATATTTGATTTTCTCTAGTTTATTCGTTTTTGCTCCTATTGTCGTGTTGAATCTCCTTGTGTGGCATAGACAGTGTTTTGAGCTCCGATCTATGTGTTTCCAGAAGCCCCTTCTAGCCTTTTTACAGGCCTGATAATGATATACTCTGTTCCAGGAATATTATATGAATTTATCTAATCATGCATGTATTCTCTAATCATTTTATTTCATAATAACAGTAAAAACTCAAGTTGGCCTTGAAACTTTTCAACTGTTATCTTATTGCTAATGTGTGTGATACTACTTTTAAAATTGGCATTGCGGTCAGCTACCTTCTTTTAGTTATCTATTAATTAACACTTGCTTTATTTTTTAATTGTAGGCATGGATTATGAAGATCCAACAAAGAAGAGCAACTTTGTGGTAATGTTCTTATGGATGTTGTATTGACAGCACTATGATGTTCTCATTCTTGCCTGTGCCATTTCTATCATGGCCCGTGGATTTCCCTTGGCATGAGATGATAGGTTTGTGCATTTATGCACTTGCTTTATGTTGTTATCATAATAGAGAGTGGCTTTCAAGAATCACGACCATTAGAAAAAATGACAGCATCAGGGGCTTGTGGTTTTTCTGTCCACTTATGGTGCTTTTTATATTGTTCTGTGCATTTCTTGGTTTATAACTTTTTGTTATTCCAGAAAAAGCCTATCTCATAACATTGGTTCTACAATAAAATTTTGATGTAGATTTTATTCTTGCGCTGCAGGATATGATACATTGTGACCTTACTATATGAAATTATTATTTCTATCTGTTAGTTCGTCTACCTTTTACTGGATTATAAATATACATAAAATCAAATTTTAAGTTGCATGTTCTCAATTTACAATTTATAATCAGCTTCTCATGTTGTCATGCTATTTGTGTGTTCTCTTTGGATTTTGATGGATACTTCTATTTTTCGATAGCAGCTTATGTTATTTTCTGCTGCATCATTCACAGCACACGTGAATGATCAGCTTATGTTATAATCAGCTTTTCATGTGGTCATATATGTAGCGCCTAGCGTCAAGTGTTCTGAAGCTTTTCGAAGCTCACCAAGCTATGAATCACTTGAAGTTGAACCAAATTTTGCCCACGGTTGAAGAAAGAAAGGTAAGAGACTAAGAGAAAAAGTGGAAGTGTACATTATTTGACTTCTGCTCACTCTTCACCAGTTAAATGTGAGTTCTAATAGCTAGTACTGAATACCTTAACCAAATGTTGCTGCTCGGCACTTAGACAAGTGGAGTTGCAGGATTCACTTAGCTTTCAAATTGGGAGTATGATTGCTTTGGCACTGGCCATAGTTCGACTACCATCTTAGCAGCACCAGGTATATATCCATTAAACTGTGAACTGAGTTCAGTACAGAACATGACCTGTGAAACATGAATTGACTCCCCCTCAAACACATGGAACAGAGCTTTTCTTTCTTTATCAGTTAATCTTGTTAAAGAATATATCGGTTTATTCGTGTTTGTTTTCTGTGTGAATCAAGCTCTCCAAGTTAACTAATAATTTGTGGGAGGTTAAGGACACGTCAACTCCTTATATTAGCATGAACTCTTATTTTCAAACCTGACTAGCGAGTCCTATTGTTTGAAACTCTTTGTGATTAATTTGAACTCTTTGTTTTAAAAGTGTCTGATATTTGCAGTGATACTTCTTGCTTAACATGATAACTTGGCTGCCTAGCACCTTTGCCTACTTGTCCATGTGGTTATATGATATATTTTCTTACTGCCTAGCATATTAAATCCATGAGAAATAAAGAAATTTTATTGACAAGATATTCCGACTGCTCCATTTGATTAACAGAGATCTAGTTCTTTATCAAGTTAATTTTGAAATGTTAAATTATAGTTATTTTATGTATTCTGATATTTGTGAGTTTTGTCATATCTATCTCAATCTCTGTTTTACTATCACTCTATCATTACCATTCAGTTGACTTATAGTATGATGAAATATGGTCCTCATCTTGGTTCTTGACATTAAAAAGATTCTTTTTGAAAATTTTGCTTACTTTTCTTTTTAGTATCTTTTGTAGGTGGAGCAAATGAACAAAAGGTAGACATAAACGGTGAAGACCTTACTTAGAGTGCTGGTTGATTATTGTTGAAACTTCATATGTTCTGGAAATCATTCGAACATTTTGCAATCTTATGTATATTAATTTTGCATTTGTAAACACTATTGTATAATTTACTTTTATGGATATTACCTTTAAATATATTGGATTATTGGATTATGATTTTATTTATCATAGTTTCTGTTTGTGATTTATATAATTTTTTGTATATTGTTGCTTTTTAGCACGTTGCAATAGCCTTAAAACCCCGTTGCAATAGCCTTAAAAAGTCGTTGCAATAGATCATGACAACCGCTGCAATAGCCTTTTTACCGTTGCTATAGTCTCATAAAAACGTTGTGATAGTATTTTTAACCGTTACAAAAGCCCCAATAACCGTTGCATTAACTACATAGCGACAATTAAGAACTGTTGCATTTTCTTTAAATAAACTTTGCAATAGATAGAGCTATTGTAACGGTTGTAAGCCCGTTGCCATAACAGTCTATCACAACAGTTTTGAAACCGTTGAATAAAATCGTTGCAAAAGATCTATTGGCACGCGACCTGACGAAACATGCCCTAAATTGTTCCAATAGATCTAGAGCAACGATTTTCCAATCTACAGCAACGGTTTTGCAGTCGTTGCCATAGGTCAAAATTCCAGTAGTGTAATATTACTAATTTGTAAGTGCATACACGACAAACACTTGATTAATAAATAAAATCAACTTCGAAAGAGAGAAATATTGAAGTGTGTAGTTATGGTCTTGTGGAAACCCCAAGTCCTTACATTAATGTCACTTCACATGATTCTGAGCTTCACTGTTTTGTCTTCTATATTATTATAACAATCATTTTTGTTAAGTTTAAAAATGTATGTGCTGAAGTATTAGGTGTATAGTTAGTGGAATGTACAACTGTATGCCAGCTAAGCTAACATAGTGGAAGGTTTAGTTTGTTAAGTAGGTGTGTTAGTAGCTACCTTGTTTGTATATATACACAGTTAGTGTATAATGTTTGTAACAGAAAATAACATAAAATGAAGAAAATCTTTCTTGATCTCCATTAGCGTGTAACTGCTTCTCCTTCATTCTCAGCTTAGCAACTCATATTAGATCTAGGATTTCATCATGGTATCAGAGCTCGTATTTATGATTCACGCTTCGTTAACAATTTATCTAGATCTAAGTTGCCTCAGTGTTTGTGTTCTGATAAATTTTTCGATATCTTCGAAGTTAGGGCTAATTCGAACAATTAGCAGTTTCTTCTCCGATTTTTACTTCTTCATCTGAGCTCAAGTGCCTCATTAACAATGACAGTCGAGAATGAAGAAATATTCACAAACATAGCAGCTGCTGGCGGTAGCTCAACTTCAATTGGTCAACATCATCCCCTGTTTCTTCAGCCATGTGATACTCCAGGTAGTTCTCTGATTTTAGTCAAATTAACTGGACCTGAAAATTATACAACGTGGAGTAGTGCAATGCGTGTTAGTTTACTAGGAAAAAGTAAGCTAGGGTTTGTGGATGGTAGATATCCTAAGGAGAAATTCGATGTGTCTCTTTATGAATTGTGGAAAAAATGCAATGCAATAGTACTCTCTTGGATTATGAACTCAGTAAGTGCTGAATTATTGAGTGCTATGGAGTATGCCTCGAGTGCTCACAAGGTTTGGATGGATCTCAAGGAGAGATTTGATAAAGTGAATGGTTCTCGTGTGTTATACCTTCATAAGCAGATTGCTATATTAAACTAGGGGATATCATCTGCATTTACTTACTTCTCTAAGTTGAAAGAATTCTGGGCAGAATTCAATGCTCTTATGCCCTGCCCTAGGTGTGGCTGTGATGAATCAAAAAAATTATGTTGAACATTTATAGTATCAAAGGTTACTACAGTTTCTTATGGGGCTAAATTAGTCCTATTCTCAGTCAAGCAATCAGAATTTGAACATGTTGCATGTTCCTTCCATCAACAAAGCCTATGCTATGATCATATCTGAGGAAAGTAGAAGATCTATGTGTCATTCATCACAGGTTTGTGAAGTTGCTAAAGGTACTGCTTTTTTTATTAGCAAAACCACAGGAATACCAAATAACAATACTAGTGTGTTCAGTGGTAAAGGGTACAATAATGTCATAGGAAATCATACTCATACTGGAGGACTCAACAACAATTATCCTAGTGGACATAGTTATACTGGAGGAAGAAACTGTCCAAGAAGAATACTATGTACTATGACTACTGCAACTTTAAAGGGCACACTAGGGAGACATGTTATAAACTAAATGGATATCCTCCAGACTTTAAGACCAGGAAGAAAGCTCGATCAAGAAATACAGCTCATTTTACTCAGGAAGTAACAAGTGCTACATGGAACAATCAAACTTTCACAGCTAATTTTACGGGTACCTCACAAGTTCAACAAGGTGCAAATACCTAGACAGGAGACTCAGAATGCGATGCTCAATGTTCCACAATTCACTCAAGAATAGTACCAGCAGATAATTCAGCTACTGGAAAAAGGAAGTGAGGGGAACAACTCAACTACAACTACACCATTGCCAGCAGGTATGACATCTTGTGTGGTGACTCCAGAAGTGTTGTCTATGTGGATAGTGAATTCAGGTGCCTCGATTCATATGGTACACAATCTTAGCTTATTAGTTAATCCTAAGAGGTTGAATGGTACAATTCAACTTCCTATAGGAAATGCTGTTTCCATAAGTCATATAGGATCAACTTATATTGTTCGGGGCCAAACAATTAGCAATGTACTTCATATACCTGACTTCAAGTACAATCTTTTATCTGTCTCAAAACTAACAAAGGAGATGAGATGGGCAGTGATGTTCTTTCCTGAATTCTGCATTTTTCAGAAACTCCCTAGTGGACAGATGAAGGGGATTGGTAGAGAAGATGATGGTCTTTATATTTTCTATTCTGCATGGGTCAATACAATTGACACTCAAGTTGTAGTTCCCAGACCAATTCCTAGGCTATCAACTCAAAAGAACTTACTTATTGTTAATATGATCACTAAGAATAGAATAATAGATGTAGCCTTATGGCATAAGAGGTTAAGACATGTGCCTACAAAGACTTTGAAAACCATGGTTAGATTTTAGAATCACAATTACAAGAATTATGATGACACTTGCATTGTATGTCCTTTGGCAAGACAAACCAGGCTACCCTTTCTTTTAAGTACTACTACTACTAATGTTTGCTTCCATACATTGCATGGTGATGTGTGGGGACCCTATAGAGTTCCTACTTATGATGGAAAGAAGTATTTTTTAACTCTTGTAGATGACTATTCTCGATATACTTGGATATTTCTGCTGCCTACCAAGTCAGAAGTGATTGTTGTCCTTGGATCTTTTATTTCTATGATTCAGAATGTCTATTCAGCTTCTATGAAAGTTTTTTCATCAGATAATGGCAGTGAATTTCTTAACTCTCAAGTAGTTGAGTTGCTGCAGACTAAAGGCATAATTCACCAGAGTTCTTGCATATATACTCCACAACAAAATGGAGTAGCTGAGAAAAGGCACTGGTATATTTTGGAAGTGGCTAGATCACTGAGGTTTCAAGCTTTTGTACCTCTCAAATTCTGGGGTGACTGTGTCACCAGTGCTGTGTATATTATAAATAGGCTACCTTCAATAACCCTTCAAGGAAAGTCTCTTTTTAAAGCTTTAATTGGTCATGTTCCTCATTTGGACCATATGAGAGTGTTTGGATGTCTAGGCTATGTAACTGATGTGATATCAGACAAATTTGCTCCTAGAGTTGTTCCAGCTGTATTTCTAGGCTATTCTATGACACAAAAAGGGCTACAAAATGTATAATCTTCACTCAAAAGGCTTTACTGTCAGTAGAGATGTGGTTTTCAAAGAAGATATCTTCCCTTTCAAATATGCCTCTAGTACTATCTCCTGTATATTTCCTGTGCTAGATCTCAATAATCCTATTCTTTTCTCTGAGAATAAGTTACCTCCATATCATTTTGCACCTAATGTTACATCACCAGATGATGCACCTCATCATAATCACTCAGAGAGTGACTTATCTGCACTCCATGAGGATATTGTAGAGCCTTCTGTTAATTCTCTTGATGATTCAGTAGTCATCCCCGCTGAGCCAATATCTTCTATATTGGCTACTGTTGAACCTGTTACTAGTAGAAGATCTAGCAGAGACAGTCGACCACCAATTTGGTTGAAGGACTATATTACTCACAACAAAGGCAAGGCTCATTGCTGCTACCCTATTTTTGCATGTGTTAGTTATGATCATGTTTCTTCTTCCTTTGGCAATGCCTTAACAGCATACTCTGCCATCATAGAACCTCAAACCTTTGATGAAGTAGTCAAGGATCCCAAGTGGATAGCTGCCATGAAGAGTGAAATCTCAGCTCTAGAAGACAGCAACACCTGGAGTATAGTTCCTTTACCTCCAGGGAAGGTACCAATTGGCTGCAAGTGGGTGTTTAAGATTAAATACACTTCTACAGATGCAGTTGAGAGGTATAATGCAAGGCTTGTGACTAAGGGGTATAGTCAACATGAGGGTGTTGATTACACTAAAACATTCTCTCATCTGGCCAAAATGGCCACAGTTAGATCTGTTCTGGCAATTGCTGCTACCAAGCAGTGGTAGATCTATCAGATGGATGTCCATAATGCTTTTTCTACATGGAGAATTACTTGAGGAAGTCTACATGGAGATTCCTCCCGGGTTTGCCGGCTAGGGAGGGAAACAGATGGCTTGCAAACTTCACAAGTCTTTATATGGATTTAAACAAGCCCCTAGATAATGGAACAAGAAACTTACATATGCTTTGACTCAATTTGGCTTCACTCAAAGTCACTTTGACTATTCATTATTAACAAAAAAAGTAGAGACAGAGTTGGTGATAGTGCTGGTTTATGTTGATGACATATTGGTCACATGAAGCAGTCCTAGTCTAATTATGCAGACTAGAAATGACTTGAAGCTGAAGTTCAAATGAAGGACCTAGGTGAACTTAAGTTCTTTCTAGGGATAAAGTTTGCCAGATCAAAGAAATGGATAGTTATGAATCAAAGAAAGTATGCTTTGGAGTTGATTGCAGAGTCAGGGCTTGGTGGTGCCAAACCTGCTAGTACACCTTTGGAGACCAGTTCAAAGCTTACTTCTGTTGAGTTTGACAATTTCATGAACAAAGACTTTTCTAGTGAAATTAATGCAGAGGACAAAAAGCTAGAGAATGTTGGACCTTATCAAAGACTGATTGGCAGACTTCTATAGCTCACTATGATTAGAATTTATATCTCATATGTAGTGCAGGTGCTCAGCCAGTTTATGCATAAACCCAAGTAATCTCATATGGATGTTGCTTTAAGGGTAGTTAGATACATCAAGACAGTTCCAGGTCTTGGTCTGTTGATGCCCTCAGAAGGCTCAGGAAGACTTGAAGCCTATTGTGACGCAGATTGGGGGTGGATGTTTGCAAACTAGAAGATCTGTTACAGGATATGTAGTCAAGTTTGGTAATGCATTAATATCTTGGAAGTCAAAAAAGCAAGAGACAGTTGCCAGAAGCTTAGCAGAAGCAAAATTTAGGAGTATGCCATCAACAGTTGCAGAGTAAGCTAGGAGTAAGCTAGGCTTACAGGACTGTTTTTTCAGAATTAGGAGTTGAGTTGCCCCTGCCTATAGACTTACACTGTGACAGCAAAGCTGTAATTCAGATTGCAGCTAATCCAATATTCCATGAAAGAACCAAGCACATTGATATCGATTGTCACTTTGTGAGGGAAACAATTATGTAAGGATTGATCAAGACTTATCATGTACCTACCAAGGAGCAACAAGCTGATTTATTGACAAAGAGTCTTGGAAAAGTGCAACACGACTATCTTCTGTCCAAGCTGAAGTTGAAAAACTTGTTTCAACCATCAGCTCGAGGGAGGGTGTTGAAGTATTAGGTGTATAGTCAGTAGAATGTACAGCTGGATGCCAGCTAAGCTAAGTTAGTGGAAGGTTTTGTTTGTTAAGTAGGTGTGTTAGTAGCTAACTTGTTTATATATATACACGGTTAGTGTATAATATTTGTAACAGAAAATAACATAATATGAAGAAACTCTTTCTTCTCCATTAGCGTGTAACTGCTTCTCCTTCATTCTCAGTTTAGAAGCTCAGATCTAGAATTTCATCATTATGCTCCCAGTGAAATTAGATTCGTTGGCGTCTTAGTTCACTTATTTTTGGTTGCTTATGTTTTATAGGCTGTTTGTAATTCCTTTATTTATTTTCTTTTGACATGTTTGGTTGGATTTTTCAGCTTGATGCACTGATATTCTTTTAGTAAAGTATCATTATAATAAGGGGCGAAGCTATGTTGGTTAAGGGTGGTCAACTGAACACCCTTCGCCAAAACATTATACTATATATAAGGTAAAATAGTGTTATTGATTAAAAAATAGACTTTGAATACTCTTGCATAGCCTACTAGCAAAGGGTGTTCAAATTAGCCTACTAACAAAGGGCGTTCAAAATTTGAACACCCTTATTGAATTTCTTGGCTTCGCCACTGATTATAATCATAATCAATTGTTGGTTAGTTCATTAAAAAAATTTACTTTCAATCAAACATCTTTTAATTTCTAATTTTTTTATCTGATGATCAATTATTAGAATAATCAATAATAGAATTAGAAGTAAATCAAACAGGCCGTAATGTAGATTTATCATTTATGTTCTTGTAGATATAATAGAAGTACTTATATTTATTTTTCAAGGTACTGAGAGGAGATTATATTACATGATTAATATCTGCTGAATCTTTATTGTTTATTGTTTTATTTTCGTTCATCCTGTGAAGAGTGCAAAAATTATCTAAAGAAAGTTGAAAGGATCATAGGAAGATGGAAGGATTAGAAATGATCCGATTAAATATGAAAATATAATTTGCTATTTAAAAAATATAAAATTAAAACATAACGGCGAATCTTTGTCTACCTGTATATCAAATTATAGCTTTGAGCTTGAAAGAATGGAGCTTCAGCAAGTTTCTTAAAATCGGGTGAAAAGAAAAAACAAGTATCTTAAATCGCAAGAAATATAGGATGTGTTTGGTATGAACATAAGTATTTTTAGGAAAATATTTTTCGATTTTTTTAATGTTTGGTTGGATTAAGTATTTTGAAAAATATTTTTTTCATAAAAATTCTCAACTCTTTCTCAACCTTCTTCGTCTTATTCTTCAACACCTCCCCCCNGTTTAACCATAATCAGCTATATCTATCTATCTATATTTATATTATATTATATTAAAAGTAGGAACCCCTTAATCTAAAAGTTAAATTACTTTTTACCCTTTTTAATTTAAAACACAAAATACCTTAATTAAAAAAATGTGCCTACAAACAAACCCCTAAATCAACATTTGGTACTCACTAAAAGTCACATCCCTTCATTCAAAGCTTATCTTCAAATTCAATATTATTATCTATGGATAGAGTAAATTGTATCTTGGACTAAGAAGAATAAGTGAAGAGAGATTAATAGATAATCATGAATTATTTCACTTTTCACGATAAAAACCTTTAGAATAATAAAAAGATCCATGGCTTTCACTGATGCAACAAATTGAAATTCTCTTCTGCTTATCCATTGGCAAGATCATCATTGCCACATGGCCAACACACGAAGGAAGAACAAGAGATTTTCTCATAAGTATGTGAAAGGATTCAAATCGAAGGGATGTGCCTCTTCAGAAAATTAGAAGGGTTTTCCCCTGCAAGACATGACTTTGACTAAAGGAATGACCACAACATCAAAGCAACATCAAAAAGAAATTGGCGAAAAATTCAGGTTTTATTTTCTTAAACTCACTCCTCTATACAATTTAATTTCCTAATATTGTGATTTTGAAAACATTAAATACATATTTGTTGTATTAAGGAAAGACATATTAATTAATAGTATAATTAACTTATTCTATTGCTAAGTTAAAATCCATCAATTAACTCATACTATGGTATATTCATAAATTATTTGAAAGTTTACTTTCAAGTTAAAGGATGATACAAAGTGAAATGTCGTGTTTGGAGGATCATGTCCTAACTTGCAAATTTAAGATCATGATAATAAATTATATTTGTATCTAAACATTACAACTTTTCGCCATACGCATTGTACGTGGATTTCAACTCATTTAGTACACACGATTCTAGAAATACAATCAATATTAGTTAACCATATTGTTCTTTTTGAAATTAAATTGACATGTACTAAATCAAAAATAAAGATAATTTTATGACTAAATATAAAAATTCATGTTTTCATATATAGTTTACATGTTAGTAAAGTGAAATCACTTATTGGAGAAGAACAGAGCAGGATAAAAAAGAGATAATAGTTATAAATAAAATATAAGTTAAAATTACACAAGTTTTCATGAAAAAGGTTCATTTGATGTAGTATACAGATAAATTTATATAATTTTAAATATATAGGTATATGATCATATAGATATACTTTATGGGGAGACGATGTTGCTGAAAATGACAATAAAAATTTTAAAAATCAATCATAGAGCTTTTCTGACGTTAGAATCTCAATTTACAAAGATATTATGCCAACAATCTTATGTACACATATATCTTACTTTATGGAGTGAATTTTTACTACTAAATTTCTTTATTTCTTCTTTAACTAGGAAATTTGTCACAAAAATCATAGTCATAATAATGAAAAAGCAATCTAAATAGATGACAAAAATATACACTATGAACATCATCTATAAAAAATGAGATACGCTTCATTACATATTTTTATCTTATAAAATTAAAATAAGTAAAAGAAAAATATTATCTAATTAATTTTGATTTTTTTTTTCGTAAATTCAGAAGATATCCAACAAGTAGTCACCATAGGATTCATATTGATCATTCACAAACAAAAATATTTACTTTATTTTTTCATTTAGAATACTTACTCAAAGCTTTGGTTTAATATAATCGATACTATTGTAAAATCAGATTACATGGTTGCCGTACATGCCTGCCGAGAAATTACCATAATACCCTTTTAAATAATTAATCTAAATATCTTAATAAATAATTAAATGGTGTAAATCTATTTATAATTGGAAAAGCCACCTATTGGAACAATTTTAGGAGCATGTTCCACCGTTTGGAACTATAACCACCGCTTCAAGAATCGAACTTTAAAAGCCACCTTTTGGAAGCATTTTATCTACTTGTAAGGGATTTCCAGTTATGAGAGAATGTCAAATGAAACGTAAACAAGCACCAAACTCGAAATCTTAAACAGACACTAAATTAGAAATCTTTTAGCGATGATTAATATTCTTTTCATCGTCTAATAAATTTTCTACCTTTTCGTTGTTGAATTATTGTAGTCTTAATCGGAGAATATCTTGTCTTTAAATCATTTACTTCGTTTCTCTCATTTTGAACACACACAGCTTACCAGGTGTACGTGATTGATGAAACGCATACGGGCTGGAAATTAGCTTCTGTATTTTTTGAAAAAATACCCTAGATCATATGCGTGAAATACTACATTAACCAGGAAAAAAGAGTATGATGAAGAACTTTTAGTGAGGTTTAATCAAAAAAACTTTATTATTATTACTTAATATATTTGTTAATTTTTTGCTTTTCATATGTACATAGCATTAACTAGGGATTTTTAAAAATAAAAGAATTTTAAGTACTATGAGTCTCTGAGTATTAAATGAAAAGATGGGCGAAGTGCAGCAATAGCCATTTGTAAGCCCGCTATTTAAAATATATTCATAATTTACAATATATTTAAAGATTAGTCAATTCATTTAAATTTCAGGACTAAATATCCTAAATTTAAAAATTTAGGACTTAGTGTCCTGAATTTTTGAGCTGCTAATTTAAAATTCAGGACTAAGTGTCCTGAATTTCTGAACTACTGTTTTAAAATTCAGGATAAAATTTTTGAACTTTAAGACTCGATGTCCTGAAATTTAAATTTTGAGGTTTAAACTCTAGGACGTCGAGTCCTGAAGTTTGAGCGAAATTGATTAATTTTTAAATATATTATAAACTGTGAATATATTTTAAACAGTATGCTTGAGAGTACTATCGGGTGTCATTTCCGCTGAAAGATTGGTTAAGTTTGAGTTCTTGAATCTTGATCTCGCCTTCATTTTTTGGAGAAGCAAGTCATCGGGAAATGGTCTTTTCATGAATATCGTGAGGCAATGGGATTTCTAAAGTGGCAATAGTACCGTATAAAATATCGAAGGTGGGATACAGTAAATCTTTTCCTACCTATTTCATGGAAGAAAAAAGAGAGAATTAAAATTATCTATCTACATGCCTTCGTATTGACAAGGGTGGGTTACTCTAGTGGTGAGCACCCTCCACTTCCAATCAAGAGGTTGTGAGTTCGAGTCACCCCAAGAGCAAGGTGGGGAGTTCTTGGAGGGAGGGAGCCGAGGGTCTATCGGAAACAGTCTCTCTATTCCAGGGTAGGGATAAGGTCTGCGTACACACTACCCTCCCCAAACCCCACTAATAAAATTATGCTGGGTTGTTGTTGTTGTACATGCCTTCATATTGCTTAAGGCATGAAGTTTATGGTGAAGAATGACCAATTCGTGTTATACTTTTTATGCTGCATAATATTTGTTAGATTGCAATGTCAAAAAGTAGATTCAATCAAACTCTAAGAAGGTCAGAGCATTATTTATTAAAATTTTAGTTTACTATAGTTTGAATTATTTTATTAAAAAGAAGACAAATTGAATAACTTTATTTATAAGACA